TAATAAATTTCTTCTCCTTTTCCTGCTTAGAGTGAATGTGCAAATTACGTTCGGGTTTTGCATCACTATAACAGGACACACCTTTTGACATGTGGTACTGGAGCTTTTGACCCCATTTGTGCCTTCATCAGAGTTGGATATCATTTGGAGGTAAGATAATTTCATTCATTGCTATCGATAAAAGTAATGCTTAAAACAACTATTTTTTAAAAGAAAGACTGGCATTTCTTCTCAAGAAAGATAAAAAGCCTTTGTTATGTACTAATTCAGTTTGCTTAAGACAGAGAAATGAGCTCTCTGGGCCTTTAAAATCCTTTTCAGCTATAAAATCTGTGAACCGATTAATTCTCTATGTACTCATTCACTGAACAATTTTATTTGCTTAATTTGCCCACTTAAAAAACATTTCTTAATAGCAAACTGTGTTCTCTATTGTGTTATAGTAATAATTTAAGCACCAAACTGAAATATATATATGTGAATGTATACATATGTACATATCATTTATATAAATACAATACTATGTATAGTATTTCACTAAGGATATGCAAAGACTTTTTGATTCTGTAGTTACTTTCTTCCAACCAAGTGAGGTAGGGAGTGCAGAAGGAGGGTAGATTTCAAACTGACTTAAGATAAGTATTGCTTGGTGAGAGCTATACATCTCTTCCCTTAAGCCTGTGCCACTAGGTGATGGAATACATGAAAACAAATCCCAAATGAATACTGCCATACTTACAATGTTTACTACCGAGCAAACTCAAAGGTCAGCCATAGGACCTGTATTTATAAGCTAGGTGAACTCTGTTTTTCACCCTGCAATTCTTTTATTTTGTATACATTTTAAAGCACTTTACATCACAATTTTACCCTGAATCATACGAAAAAATATTCTGACGTCAGAATCTGTTACTTTTTATCTAGATTCAAAGGCAGAATCTACATTAAGATGGAGAACATAAAATAGAGGTCTAGATATTTTGTAGTTTAGCAGTTTAGCAGACTCATGATTTTTATACTCCATTTATGAAAGGGCAAGAGTGACTATGAAATGTTTCTAGCTACCACAAACAAAAATCACTGTTTCACCACTAAAATATTATTTCTGATGTTTCTTATACTAGTTAACATAGAGGTACAAATATTTGAAGTGCTTAATAGCTGTTATCTGGAGGATGCCCTTGATTGAAATTCTTTACCTGCTAACTACCCTTATAGGAGGACATATGATTAGTATAGTTTAAACATCAACTAACCATC